AAACGCCATTATTATCTTCGCCCTCTTCATCTATGAAGTGCGTTGCTCGTGGTGGGGGCGGTAGATTTCCCCCACCCCCCGTCGATGTTGGCGCGCCGTGCGTGAATGCCGTGGTCTTCGCCACTTGTGGGCGTGTTTTTTGCCGCAAAGGGGAATCCTCCATTGGATCCACCCATCGATCGGCCATCTTCGGCTGCGTTTGGGGCACGTCCTGCGTTTCTTTCTTGAGTTTCGCCATTAATTCAGTGAGCATCTCTTGCTTCGCTGTCACTTCCCTGTGCATTTGTTCCAAATCCTGGGCCGCCTTGTTTCTGTACTCTTCAAAGGCGGTGCACTGTTGCTGGAACTGCACGACCCTCTGACGCAGAAGCTCCTCTTGCTCTGCCATTGCAGCCGTTCGGTGCTGTTCCGCCGCTGCTTGTCGCTCTAGTAATGCCCATTTTTGTTGGAAATCTGCCGATGCTTGTGCGTATTCCCTGTTAAACGCATCGCGCTGAGCGGCAAGAACACCTTGCTCCCATCCAACGTTTTTGATCGCTGAAAGAAGCGGAACCAAAAACTGGGCCTCAAAATGAGGTACCTCCGGGGTGTGCATATCTGCAACCCGATTGAAAAAGGAGGAATCATACCAAACTTTCCATGTGCCACCATCCTCCAAAACGAGGCCACGGTCAGAACATGTGGCACGGGCTTCGCAACGTGTTACGGAATCCCCATTCACCACAGCGAAACTTACCGTAGTAGGTCCATGTTGGCGAACATGACTTTCCAAGCTCCTCCCGAGCTGTTCCCACTGCTCAAAAGAGTAAGGGATCAAAGCCATACTTGCAATCCTTAAACTTAAAAAGAAAAAACCAAATCTTAGATCCTTTCTATTCGATTAAAACCGAGGCTCTTTGACTACAAACAAACCCAAGAGAGAGGGAAAGTAAAACATAACTCAAACCCAAAAATTTTAGTAGACCAAAACCGGACGCATATTCTTTTCACAAGCTCCTATTATTTTTTTTAGCTATTTCATTTCCCATCAAGTGATAAACACAAATAGTAATCAAGCAAATAATAATAAGAATAATAAGACGAAGAACATCAACCAAAACAAAAAAAATAAAATAAATAAATAATAATAACAACACCAATAATAATAATACCAATAATAATGAATAATAATAATTAATAATAATAATAATAATAATAATAATAAAAAACAAACAAACAATATCACCGACATGATCACCCTACCTTGAAGAGAGAGGAGGAATAAGCCAGAAACAACTCCTATATCCATCAAAGACCAGCGGTTGTTGAATAGGCACTCGACGGTGTTGGATCAATTTAATACACTCCTGCGCCGCCGCAGCTCCAATAATGGAAGCCATGAAAGCCGGTTCACCTCCACCAAATCGTGCCAGTTCCATACATGCTTTTAAAGTAAGATTACTATTACTATCACTATTATTATTATTATTATTATTATTATTATTATTATTATTATTATTATTATGAATAGTATCACTACAGTCACTGTGAGATTCTCCTTGTCGTGATATTTCCACAATACGTAAAAGTTCCTTTGCATCATCTTTCCACATAATATCTTGTTTATATGGAGTTTCATATATAGAGCCGGGTGGACGTCCATATTGTTCCTCAAAGTATCGTGCAGCCAAAAGAGCCGCATACAATTCTACCGTAAATCGTTCCTCCTCATTACTACAATTTAAAAAGTACTGTGTAAAACGTTCTTGCTGAAGGGAAACCCATACTTCTTCATCCAGATCAGGGGAAGAGTTTATTAATTGGAGTGTCCATAAATTCTGTATTAATGCCTTTGTTAACTCCAATAAACATGTTTCATCATTATTATTTATATCGGCATCTATAAATTCCTCCAATGCATATTTAAAGACTCTTGAACAGTCTTCCTTCATTTTTTCTGTATAAATAGCGGTTAATTCACTATACCACTGAGTGGTAGTGGTGATATCGGGTATATATCCACAGAATGGGGGAACTCCATTATTTTCTGCGATAAATCGTTTAATACCTTTTATCACAGCCCAACAAAGTGGTGTAATTCTCTCTAAGGATTTACCATCATCATGATGATAATGATTATAATAATAATGATAATATGGATGATGAAATGATGAAATTATCTTTTTTTTTCCTTCTACTCGAGGATCCTCTAATACTTTTAAAAGTGTCAAGGGTAAATGAGAAGGTCTATTCAGAACGGTACGACATTTTTCAAGAGCTTCCATAAATCCCTCTTGTGGTGGTGATGGACGACGAATAAAAGAAATAATAACTTTCTTTAACATATCATAATCTGCCTTTGTAGTTGGTATAAACTCTGGTTCTCCACGTTCACTTCGAAGACGTTGAAGAGCATGATAAAGAATTGCAATCCATGGGAGATGACTATGTAATTCAAGATTATCCTCAAATAATTCATTATTCTCTGGATTATGTGAGAGAAACCATCCCTGAAGAGATGGAAATGGATTAAAGATACGAAGATCTTCTACAAGAGTTTCTGGTTTAGGTTCTGTATGAATAATAAGTCGTTCCTTTTCTTGTATATGGATTAATCCAATAAGACCCGTAGTTTGAATATACACTAACGGTATGTTTGTTTCATTCTTTAAATAAGATGCAAGACGACGAAGAGATGCTGCAGGAAGTTTCGGTGTGGCTACAATAAGAGTTGGCATGTTTTTCCATCTTTCTTCCTCTTCTTCTTCTTCTCTTATTTGTTGTTGTTGTTCCTCTGCTGTTATTATTTCATTCATGAGAGTTTGTTGAGATATAAATCTCTCCACCCACGCCTCACACGAGTCCACAATGGCTTTGCCTACAGAACTGTATATATTTAATTCATTCAAATGCTGCACGAGTGCCTGAGCCAACGGGCGTCGCTCTAAATAATCCTCCATCGTAACAAAGAAATTATTCCCTAATGCCTCTGGTGTGAGAAGGGCATTATCAACAATAGTGTAGCGGGCAACTCCAGGGAGAATTAAATTCTTTAGAGTTTCAGCAGCAGTGGCGGTGGCGCCGAGAAGAAAAACGTGTGCCGCTGCGAGGGCCCGCTGCCCATCAGTGCCCCACAACCGCAGCTGCCGGTCGTACTTGAGATCCATACTGAATATATATATATCTATATATATATATATATATATATAGATAGATAGATAGAGAGAGAGAGAGAGAGAGAGAAGAGAGAGAGAAGAGAGAAAAAAGAAAAAGAAAGGGATGTTGTGAAGCAGATGTGGTTAGATAGAGAAGTCCACTAAAGGGAAAGTGAGAAGAAGGATAGAATACAGGGTGATAGAGGTTCACCCATTTGCAAATAATTGTAGTAGAAAAAAAAAAAAAAGAAAAAAAAGAAGAGAGAAAGGAATACTAAGAAAAAGAAAAAAAAAGGAGGAAAGAAAACAACAAACACAAAAGTAAACTAGAGGTACTCATAAATGAAAACAGATCCCCCTATGTCACTCTTGTCATTTGAAAGAAAAGGTAAAAAGGAAAAAAAAAGGTGTGAATGGGAACTACAATATTTAAAAGGATGATGCAACTTTCCGAAATAATAATAAAAAATGCAAACACCATTTCATAAATACATATATATATAACTATTTATATTTATATAAAAAGAAAACGCATATACAAACAAGAACATATTGTATATCAACACATATATATATGTGTTTATTACTTATTCATATATAAGCATTTTAGTACATTTATGTATAAGCAGAAAAATAGAGATTACGTCTACATGGTAGGGAAAGGGGGAGAAAAAAAGCAATAATAAAAAAGAACCCACACACGAAATAAAAAAGCAATTCCAGTAAACTAAGCAGATATACGGGCGCAAATACATTTTCTCTTTTGTGTCCTACCACACAAAGCGATATACCCTGTATTCTTTTTAATTCAGTTTTTTTTTTTGTTTTGTTTTCCATGCTTTTCACCCAAATCATCCTTTTCACCTTATTCTTATTCTTTCCACATATTTCTCCTTTTCTCTTTATTTTTTTTTTTTTTCCTTCTTGGTCAGACTTCGTATTTCTCCTCCTTTCTATCTTTCTCCACACTCTCATACTCACATATATAGGAAGAGAGTAAGTGAGATCAAGATCATATATATTGTTCTTTTTTTTCTTTTTTTCTTTCTTTCTTTTTTTCCTTCTTGTTTTTACATCAACTTTGGAATGCTTTTCCGACTTCTTCTCTTCTGCGAGGTGGAAGATGATCGTGAACGTTCTACCGAGTCACTTGTGGACGCAGCCGGCGGCAAACAAAGAATATTATTATCATTCTGTGTATAATACTGCTGACGGCGAATAAGTGCCATCGTACCGTGAGTGCTATTCCGCCTGTTGTGCAGTGGCGGGATACTAAGTGTGGGTGGCACGACGCCTTCTAGTGTGGATTGATTAATCGGCTGCACAGAACGTTGACGATCATGTCGACGAATGGCAGTGGCGAGATTTCCACACACGGCGCCGGGAATAATTCCACGAGCGACTGCAGCCTCACGGGACACACACGGTCCAAGTCCACGTACCGCACACTCTGAGCAGATGGCAGCATTATACATCGCTGGAAAGTAGGCCTCTGTGAGACTAGACTTACCACAGAGTTTACAGCGAATACATTGAGGATGAAAGAAGAGTCTACCCGCAGGAACACGAGTAACGGGATCTACAGGAGCACTACAGGCTGCACATGCCACATATACATTCTCTACAACATGTACAGGTCCTGTATAATTAGGGGAAACACCATTGCGTGTTCGAAATGCCATATACTCTTCTCGTGTCGTCATGTAATTAGCGGTATATAAAGGTGTGAGAGTCCCACTAGGAATAATTCGACGTTTCATAGAAGTAGAACTTGCATGACGTAAGGATGATGAACGTAGTGGAGAAGGTGTTTTCCGCTCAGGTACAATCGTTTCATCAGCTACTTTAGAAACACCTTCCACATCTACTGTATTTGCTGGCCCAGGCGTTGTTCGACTTGTGGATGGTGGAAGGGTTTCTGACATTTGAGATTTATAATCCGCCACACTTCCCTGTCCTCCTTCTTTCGTGACAGTACTACGATCCTCTGGGGTGTTGGAGATGTAACCAGAACTACGCAGAACAGCACGTCTACCAATAGAAGGCTGTAAAACTACACCTTCATAATATGCCTCTGTGGCTTCATCTGTGTGTCCACCGTGAGAAACATCTCGTTCGGTGGATTGCAGATGTTGTTTCTCTGAGACTATATCGGTTTCCTGCGTTGCTGTTTCTTCATTTTTTACATCCTCCTGAGGATCCAAAGGATGTGGTTCCTCTTGTTCATTTTCCAATTCCCGCGGTTCTTCTTGTTCATTTTCCAATTCCTGCGGTTCCTCTTGTTCATTTTCCAATTCCTGCGGTTCTTCTTGAGGTTCCTCTAGCAGTTCTTGAGGTTCTTCTTGTGGTTCATCTTCTTGTGGTTCTTCTTGCGGTTCTTCTTGTTCATCTTGGAGTTCTTGTGGTTCCTGCGTTGTTTCTTCAGGAGTCTCTACTGGTTGCTGTGGGACTTCCTCATTTTGATCAGGATCTGAGGACATGTTTACAAACGCAGAAAATATTAAAACAAAAAAAAAAAAAAAATCAACGACTATTCTCTGCAGTTGATTTTCTTCTAGATGGTATTTCTCCTTATTTTTCAGGAGATAGAGAGTAGACTTCTTTACACTAGTTTTTTTCCTATGTAATACTATACTCGATTTCTCCCCCACCTCGTTTCCACGAACTATACACCAAGTGGGTAATGAGTTTAAGCACTATTTAAAGAGAAAAAAAAAAATAGAAAATAAAATAAAAGAGCATATAAAGAATATGTATAACAAATAATGGGTTACCCTCATTCATATCAGAATGTCTGTATCTATTTATCTATTTTTTTCTGTATGTCTCTGTGAAAGTGTATATAGGTATCGTAGACACCTTTCCAATTCCAGCGTCATTTTTATACCTGCTTACTCTCTCTACCTTTTTTTTTTTTGTTGCTGTTCTTGTAATCGACCTTTCTTATATACATTGTGGCTACGTACTATGAGTACGTAGAAAGGGGCGGTATAGTATTTAAACTTCCCGGCACCTTTAAATTCTCTTTCTAATTTTCATGCTATTGTTATAGCGTTAGTCATTCTTTTTGTTTTTTCTCACTCTTTTTTTCGTCTTTTAACGTTCACGTCATTCTATTCAACTCTTCACTTTCCTTTTTATCAGCTATATATATATAAATGCATATTCGCTCGTCAGAAAAAAAAAAAAAAAATCCACTTTCTCTTGTTTCAGCAGATACAGTAGTTGGCAATAATAATAAAAATAGTAATAGTAGTAATAGTAGATGTATATCTCGCTCTTTCTCTTTTTCTTTTTCTTTCTATGAGGTGGCCTTGCGGATGGCTTCCTCAAGTGCTTGTTCCTGTTCATCTGCCACCATGTTCATACTACTATAGCACGGTGCAAGAAGACGGAATACCGTCACATCACCTTTTTCATCCCCAACCACTATAACAGCAGCATCTTGTTCAGCGAAAGAAACACTTGAAAGACGGCGTTGATCCACAAACTGCACACGTGATCGGGGATGAATAGAATCCGTAATAGACCACAATTCCACATTTCCCTGTGCTGTAACAGTGGCAAATGTTGTAGAGTTTGTATAGGACCATGCTACATCTTGTACAGCATTTTGATTAGGACTATCAAATGTGAGAAGTTGTGCGGACTGTCCAACGCGGTAAAGTCGTGAACTCCAGTCCGCTGAGCATGTGAGAAAGTAGTTATCACTATATGGTGACCATCGCACACGATAGACAAGTTCTGAGTGTGGTGCATAATCTAATTCATAATTCTCTGTTTGACTCTTATTACACTGATATATAGAACCATCCTCTGTACCTACAATGTAAACAGTACCATCTGCAGGTGAAATATCAAGACACATACCACCACATTGTCTTGAGAAGAGTGCATCATGTCTGCGTCTTTGTTGCTGTTGTTGTTGTTGTTGTTGTTGTTGTTGTTGATGTTGTCCAGTACCTGTAACAGGAGTAGAAGTAGTAGTATTCGCACCACCTCGTTTATTTTTACTTCCATCATCTGCAAAGGCAGATTCAGAAGTGGTACCATGTTGCCTTTTAAGAGTCATAAGATCAGGTGCCACTCGTTCAATAGTTTTACCCACAGCCCACTGCACAACACGACCATCTCCAGATATAGACATAAGAAATTCCCCTCGCTCTTTACCTCGTGCCACCCATTTAAGTTCCCATACGGCACTTGTATGTTGTCCACTTGTAAGTGTGGTTTTAATAGCAGGTACATTTGTATCTTTTTGAATATCATAAATAACAATACTGCCATCTGTATCACCAACTGCAAGAAGACTTGGGTATTCATAAGAGAAGGCTACACATGATACACCTGCTTCTCCTAAAAGGTGAATAACACGTTCGGGAGCGAGTGGATTCTTTAATGACCAACAACAAACTAAACCACCTGTTGATGAACCATTAGATCCTTCTGTAGGATGAATATTATCACCTCGTAAAGCACTATAACCTACTGCCAAAATATCAGTTTCTTTTAAATTCCAAGACATAGAAGTAACAGCACGGTTTTTTGTTGAAGGAGAACGAAAAGTCCATAATGCTTTAATATCATCTGACATTTTTAATGGTGGTGGATCCGCTTTAATAACAGGAGCAGATGCCGCTGCCACAGCAGCAGTAGCAGCAGCAAGAGCCGCTTCTTGTGGATCATTTCCTTCTGTTGTTGTTGCTGCTGTTGCTGCTGCTGCTACTGCTATTGCTGCTGTTCCTGTAGCTGTCATATCCATATCTTCAGGTGTTTTTCTTTCTTCTCCCTCTGGTGGTCGTGGTATACGGTGAGCAGCAGGGTCCATAGTAATACCTCTATACATTAATTGTACTTCCTCCATCGTATTTTGTACCACAGCTCGCTCCATCACACGTAATGTTGATAATATAGAATCAGAAAACATCCAAGATACTGCCGATCGTGTATTACTTCGAACACTATTATCTGCTGCTCCTTCAGATACTGCCTCTTTCTCTCCATTGGTTGCAGATTCTACCAACTCATCATCATCTTCATTTTCACTCTCTTCCTCTTCCATAGATTCATCTTCTCGTGTAAGAGCAGCAAACTGATCTCGTAGCATCCAAGTTGTGACTTGCAAAGCTCCTGCATTTTTTTTAGGTGAGGGATGAATAGCACAGTGAATAGATTTCTTTGGTGGTACAAACGTCCATGAACCCTTTTCCTGAAACCGTGTTCCCTCATCTACCCTCTTTGCTTCTACAAGAGCAGAGTAGTAATCATTTCGCTCTTGTACCTGCGATACAATATTCTTATTCTCATTTGAGACAATTTCATCTTGATGCGTATATAACATTATAGTAGGAGTCTCTGTAAGAACAACTGTTGTTTTACAATCCAACCATGCCCTTCGTTCTTCTCGACTGTAGACATGCATCTTCTCCTCTGGCATTCCTGCATGTTCATCAAAAGACCCTTGCTGAAATTGTGTATGCGCTCCCATAGCGGCTGATGGTCCAAAAATCGATCCGCTCGAGATGGTAGAACCTCTTCGGTCTATAGAGACGCTTGTAAGAGATGAGGAAGATCCTGTGAGAAGTCCCACATGTGAGGGACTACCAATACCGACGCTAGCGCTGGAGGTGAATCCAAACTGATCGGTGGAACTGTTCAGCACGGAGGAGTGAAAGAGGGAACTGCTCTCCACCGGCAGCAAAGCGCTGATGGAGCCGGCGGGCGGACGAACATCCCGCTGGACTCCCCCGCCGCCCCCCGGCCGCTGCTGCAGCGGGAGAGGCGTCCGGTCCACGCCGTTGTCGAGGACGTGAATGGTCGGCTCGAGTTCCTGCCGCTGTTCGTGCGGGCGGGGGTGCGGCTCGCCTTTCGTGCGGCGGGAGCGGGTGCTCTGCCGGATGCTGTTGCTGCTCCGCTCCGTCGACTGCTTGTTGGACGAGAGCATGCGGCCGTGGGTGCTGAACTCGCTCGAGTACTGCTTTTTCATCTTCCAAGGGGTGGGAGTGAGTGTTTATATATATAAATATATATATATGGTCTCGCGGAGGATACCACCAGTGGTGCTAGGAATAATAAGAAAAGAAAAGAAAAGAAAAAAGTGAGTATGGTTAAACGGTATGAAATAAAAATTATAAATCTACGAGAGAGAGAGAGAGAGAGGACATAGCTTTAAAGAAGTATATATATATATATATATAACTTGTATAGTTGCACACATTTAGAACACAAACATGAAAAGAAAGAAAAAAAAAAAAAAGAGACAACTCCGCATAACAAATACCAAATTTATCAGAAATTCTTCTCTTTATATCTTCTCATCCACAAATTCACGCACAGCTTCCACGTTAAACGGGTGTTCTGTAGGTGAGACGTAGGAAGAAACATCCACAAACACAACAGGAACCGGAAAGTCATCAAAGGTAAACTTGCCCGATTCCCCCAGTAACAATTCATGTACTTTTCCACCTCTACTGAGATTACTATTATTATTTCTACCACTAGCTCCAGATTTATTCTTTTTTCGCCCAACAGCAATTCCAGATGCATTGACAATACTGTCAAGACTCTGCACATCACCACGCCGTGTAGCAATACAACGTGTAATCTCCGCCTCTAAAATTTTCTTTACCGCTTTTGCAGAGTAACTTGTTAATTCATCCCTCTTCGTACATGCCACCAAAACACGTTTTACACCATAAAAAGCAGGAGAAGTAAATACAGAAACTACAAGTTCTGCTAATGCCTGAGCTCCTTCTTGACGATCATCTTGTATAGTAACTGTATCCACAACAAGAATAACTTTATTTGCCTCTTCCAAATCAGATGTAAGTGAGTCACGCAAACGACGATGTCCAGGGTAATCCACCACTTCAACAGGTGCACCTACCGCAGCAGTATTAGTATTAGTATTAGATACCGTTTTTGTTAATTTATTATCAGTAGAATCATCCTCCTGTTTTCCATTGTTTGTAATGCTATGTTTTGACCGTAATGTCATAACGGCGCGATTCGCCTTCATACTTGTTCGTGTCTTGATACGTTTCTGTGCGATCAACTGTGCAAAGAGTGCCGTTTTACCACTCCCGCAGAGACCAATAAGTAAAGCCGAGTGACGATGACGGGAAGTAATACCAGCACCTCGAAGTACATATTTGGCCAACACACGTGCAATCACAAGAGCAAAAATAATGGTTGCTACAATAAAAATCATGGTATTATTATCATTATTCATATTACCACTAATGCTGCTGTTGTTGTTGTTGTTGGTGGTGGTGGTGGTGTTGCTGGTAAAACCTGTTTGATTTGAAGCCGTCATTATGTTTTTTTCCTTCGCACAGGAATAAATAAATAATAAATAAATAAAATCAGATCGTACTAATTACACGTCCTCGAAGGACAGCCGTTGTTCTCTTGTTCTTTTTTTTTCTAAATACTTTTCTTAAATTTGATATGTATTCATTCGAAGCAAAGGGGGAAAAAAAAACAAAGAAACCCATAAATTACCTGACAATCCATGCAAAGCATCTTCTGTGTCCAGAGAACAAACAGTCAGGACAAGGCTAAATCTAATCAAACACTAACAATAATAAGAACAAGAAAAAGAAAAAATATACAGTGAATGTATCCACACTTACGGATTCATTCCATCCTTTCGACGCGAGCCATTATTTTCGCCATGTTGCCAAGAAATGTATTATTATTGTTATTATTATTAACATGGATTACGATAGTAATATATATATATATATATATATATATATATATATATATATATTACCTCCCTAAGGATTCCCTTTCAAAAAGGTTTCGGACTGCTGTCTATATCCTCAAGTATCTCTCCTCTTTCTCTCTGTAAAGATACGCCCATGTGAAACGTCTGCAGCGTCCCTCAACACAACGACTTAACTTACGAAGCCACCCAAAAGTTTTTGCAAAAATCTTTTCTTTCTTATATTATCCAGTCGGTCAACAGAGACGATATTACATATAAGAAAAGAATATAGAAAGTAAGAGTGTTATGCGCGAAGAAAAACAGAAAAAAAAAAAAAAAAACCTCACAACATACCAATATTATTACCCCTCTCTTCACCTAAAACCTTAAGTGATAATTTTAGTTCATCTATCTACAAAGTTAAAAAGAGAAAAAGAAAAAAAGAGGAAAAAAGAAAATTATATCGGATTGCGAATCAATCAAGAAAATAACCACAAGAAAAATAAGAGTCAGAACAAAGAAAAAAAGAGAGAGAGAGAGAGTATGAGAAGGCAAAAACAACAGTAACAATAACAATAACAACAACAACAACAACAACAATATAGAAAAATAATTTCTTAATTCATCTTCTCGTACGTTTTACGCAGTGCCTCCTCCAATTTGGCATGAGAGGGCATATTTCTTGTCTCTCCATATACCGCAAAGGTAAGAGGTTTGCGTACCATATCTGCACAGACGCGTTTTAATCCACTCAGCGTGATATCTCGTGTCCCTTCCACTGTCTCATTGGCTGTAATGATATGATTGTGTACAACCATATTGAATCCCATATCAGATAACAATTGTTCACGTCCCTCTCCAAGGAGAATTAACTGTGAACGTAATTGATTCTTCGCCATCTCCAGATGCTCAGGACTAACACGTTGACAGATAGAGGCAGCTTGGTAAATCATTACTTTCAGCAATGCATACACAGACTCATGCGGTGCACTACCGTAAAGTCCAATAAGACCCCCATCACTATACCATGCCGTAATACATTCCAATCCATGTAGAAAACCTTCTCTGTTTAGTACCTCACGAAATAGTTTGGTTTGCATACCTTTACCAGGTCCACCAGAACTAAAGGACGTCCCACCACCAAGAAGTGTTTGAATCACACTAATAGTATAATAATCCGGGTGATTAATTGGAACACCTTGATAAAACAAGGCAACATGACTGAGATTTTTCTCCTGAAATTTATTCATACTCTCAGGTGCTTCTGTCTGCTGTACCAATCGGCTTCCACCGGTGTATGGATGATGACTGGATGTACATAACTGCACGGGCTCACTGTCAAACTGCAGAATACGCTCCGCCTCAGTAGCGAAGAGTTTATGATCCGCAACACCTGTGGCGGCGAGTACAGTACGCTCCGGCCGTGTACAGGCACGATGAAAAGCGGTAAATTTCTCCAGTGTGAGTCTGTTGAGTTCTTCCTCTTTTGGGTTAAGTGGACGACCAAGTCCTTTACCATTCCAACCTGCTTCATGTACAAGCTCAAAACACATACTGGTCGCATCACGGCTGTATACAAAAGCACGTTCAAGTGCCTTCTTCTTTGCAATTTCAAAGCAATCTTTATTTTGTGTAGGGTGTAGACACATTGCGTTAAGTAATTCCAGTCCATCACGTTGGTGATATCGTGGTACCATAAGCATCACTGACATGGCCTCCTTATTATTTGTTACCTTGAAGGCATTACCAAGCACACCAAGGGATTGACTAATCTCACGATCAGTATATATCTGATTACTCAGAAGCGGAAGTGACTCAAATACAGCAGCAGATCCTGCATTGCTTTCATCCTCAAACTTTGTTCCATTTAGCATGAAAAGACCCATACCAGTAATACCGTTTCCGTCATCACATGTAAGCACACGTAGTCCATTAGAGAGACGGGAAAGCACATAATTGTCTTTCGTCACGGTTTCCACAATTCCCCGACACGGAAAACATCGGCGCAGCATATTGAATCAGATCAACTCCCCTTGAAATTTAACTCACTCCACCTCTTTTTTTTTTTTTCCTGCCGTTTTTTTTTTTTTTTTCCTTTTTCGCTTTCAACACTAAGAACGGCTACGCCAATACAAATTCCCAATCAATCTAAACCCGCGTTACCTCTCCTTATCTAACATGATGAAAGTGGAGAGGAAGAAAGAAAAAAAAAGAAAGGAGAAAATAAGGTTAGAAAATAATTAGAAGCATGCAATTCAACTAACCAAATATATATATATATATATATATATATATATATACATGTATAACGACAGAAACAAAGAAGAGAGAAATAAACACATCATACGAGGCAGTTTTCTTACTACCGTCTCTTACTGCGTTATTACTCACGGAACCCCCGCGCTCCACCAGGGTAAAAGAAGCAAGAGCAGAAATAGCAATCAACTAGAGAAAAAAACGGGTGAGCCACATTATCTGTTAATTTTTCCTTCCTCCTTTATGCCTTTACCACAGTTGGTAGTCCTTTCTATTCCCCTCATATCCTTACTATCGCGGCACAGTTCATTCGTTTGTATATATTGGAAATCAAAAACACACACACTCTGATAGAGAGAGAGAGAGAGAAAAAGAGAGAAAGAGGAACAAAGAAAGAACCTCACTTCCTCTTTTTCTTCTTCTTTATAGAATGACTTGCTCTCATTATATACACTTCATTCCATCTTTTCTTCTTCCTCTTTTCTTCTTCTTGCTAAGGCCATTTTGATCGAAACGTCTGCTGTGATGACGCCATGGCTACCAACTCTTCACACGGTGGTGGAAACAGTGCATCGCCAAGGGCACGATTGTAGATGTGCATGCGGCAAACTACATTCGCCAATCCAAATTTATCTGCATAATAACATAGACCACCTTTCCAAGCAGGAAATCCATAGCCAAACGTCAAGGCGACATCCACTGCCGCTGAGCTCGACACCACTCCCTCACCCAATAGTTTAGCCGCCTCGTTAATGGCAACAAATAAAAAACGTTCAACAATCTCTTTGGCGCTAATGTCACGACGTAAAATTTCTTTTCGTCTGCAAACGTCAAGAATCAGCAACTCCACTGCCCGATCAGGCCGTGGCTTTCGTCTTAACTTCGCTCCGCCTTTTCTCCACACACCCCATGAGGCTACACGATCTTCTCCCTCTTCCTCCTCCTCACGTCTCGCACTGTGCAGGAGATCATCCACCGCACCAAGGAGACTCCCACTCTCGTAACTGTACCATCCTCGACCAGTCTTTTGGCCAAGACGACCTTCTTCTACCAAAAGCTGCGAGATGGTAAAAACATCCGCAGCGGGGAAAGGTGATCTGCCATGTTTCTGTAGAGCTCCACGAATTTTAGCGCTGAAATCCAATCCTGCCAAGTCTTCCAAAGCGAATACACCAATACGAAAACCAAACATCCGCAAGGCGCGATCAATCTCAAAAGGGAAGGCTCCCTGCTCTAACATAGCAAATGACTGATACATGCATGTAGAAAAAAGTCGGGTAGTCAGTCGTGCACCGACATCATTGGTTATAACTATGGCCTTATGAAATAGTCGACCAAGTCGAACTGCCTGCAGCAGAGTATAACGATCTGTACACTCTCCTTGTGCAATCTCCAACAATGGTGTAATATCGGATGGAGGGATAAAATGCATTCCAATTACCTTTTCTGGTCTCTGTGTCACCTTTGCTAATTCACCTACTCTCAATGAAGAAGTGCTGGAAGCCATAACGCATTCAGGAGAGCACACTGTACTCATACGGGCAAATATTTTTTTCTTAAGCTCAAGATCCTCGCTGACGCATTCCAGGAGCAAGTCCACCCCACGCATTGCTGAGAGAAGATCACCATTATATGGGATAATGGATAACATCGTCAAACAAAGTTTGTGCTGCTCTTGAGAGAGAAGGTTATTCGCCACATCAATCTCCAACTCTGCCCGCAACGCAGAGAGTACCTGCTGACACCGTTCTTCGTTAAGTTCCACAACAACCACTGGGAGTCGTGTGCGTAACGCGAGGAGGACAACGCCCATACCAACAGTACCACACCCAATAACACCCAAACGTCGAATAGAAATTCCACATCCTATAGAAGGTGTCCCCACACCGGGTAGTGATGCGGGAATACTGCGAAGTGCTTCACGAGAAGAACGTAATAGATGTTGCATAGCAGAAGCTTCAGGTGATTCCATAGCTTCTAAAAAGAGTCTCATTTCTTCCTTTAGTCCATCCGCAAAGGATGGTGCTGTGATAGCAGCTTGAATAGCCTCAAGACAAAAAAGAGGCGCCTTCACACCTTTTGGAGTCTTTTTCATAATTTCCCGTTTCATCCACGCTAGTACAAGACGGTTAAAAAAAGTATTCCCGAGCTTTCCATTTTCACACGAGAGACGTCGTGGGTTTTTCCACTTTTTTAACATAGAAAGTGCAACTATAACAGCTTCATTATGATTTCCACTTGTTAGAGTTTCTTTTTTATTATTTCTAAATGTATTATTATTATTATCTTTTTTTCCATCTCGAACATCCTTTGTGATGTGATCTATAAGACCCATATCAAGTGCTTCGTAGGCGTTCACTTTCCTTGATGTCGTTATCATTCCAAGAGCAGGACGTACCCCAATTAAACGTGGGAGTCGTTGTGTCCCACCACCACAAGGTACAATACCAAGTTGAACTTCCGGAAAAGAAAATACAGATGCTGGTGTAGCGACTCGGTAGTGAGATGCAAGGGCTAACTCCAATCCTCCAGAAAAGGCCATACCATGTATGGCTGCTACCACAACTTTTGAACATGCCTCAACCATATTTGTAAGTGCAGCTAGAGTAGGAATAACATCATTTTCATAGCTTGTCTGTAGTGCAGAGGCTTTAAAGTCTGTAGTATCTACACCACAGGAAAAGGCACCACCATCACCAGTAATAATAATAGAGTTTATATTAGGATCGTTCTGAGCTATACAAAAGTAATGATGTATAGCTGCCCGCATACTTGTAGTGAGGGCATTAAATGGCTCCTGGTGAAGAATAATAATAGCACAATTCTCAGATTGTTCCATATGGCAGTAGCTTCGATAGCCAACATGTGAAGCTAATGTTTCCACACGCTGCATTATTGCTTACTAAAACGTTATAAATGTGTTTTTTTTTTTTTTTTTTCTTTTCTCTTTTCTCCTTTCTTGTTATCTTGAGAAATCAATACGTACAAATAGGTGTACAATTGTTCACATATAGAGAAACCATACATACAACGAGATTAGTATAGAGAGAACGAAGAAAAAAAAAAAGATGGAGTGTTTCATTTCTCTTTATTTATTTTTTTCTGTGGGAGTGAACGGCAGAATAGGAAAGCATATATAATATCAAAAAAAAAAAAAAATTAAACGAGCAATTATTTTTTCCAATACTTTTACAATATTGCTAATCTTAGTGTCAGCACTAATTTAGTTTTTTT